CTGAGGAGGCACTACCAAAAAGCAGGCAACAGAGTCCATATCAGAGAAAGCACTGCTCCCCTAACTAGTGAACCCACATGAAGCCTCAACTGCCATCTGCTACATCTGTGTATGGGGCCTAGGTACAGTCTATGCTTGATCCTTGATTGGTACTTCAGTGTCTCCAAGCCCCTCTGGGCCCTGATTAATTGGCTCTGTCGGTCTTCTTGTGGAGCTCCTATTACCCACAGGTCCTTCTAACTTCCTCTTCACTTTCATACAGTACTCTCTGTGTGTTCCACCCAATGTTTGGCTGTGAATCTCAGCATCTGTTTTGAACCACTGCTGAGTGTAAACCCATAGCTCTAACCTCTCAGAGGACAGCTATGCTAGGTTCTTGTCTGTGAGCACAGCAGAATATTGTTAATAGTGTCAGGGGTTGGCTCTCTCCCATGGGATGAGTCTCAGTTTGGGGCAGGCATCGGTTGGACATTTTCTCAACCCTGTACATCTTACAGGCAGGGTAAATTTGGGGTTGAAGTTTTTGTGTGGGGTTTTCTGTTCTCCTCCCTCCACTAGGAGTCCTGTCTATTTAGACGCTTTCCTTTCAGTCTCTATGACTCCTGTTACTAAGAATGTCAGCTAGAGTCACCCCCTATCTTCCAAGAAGCCTACCTGTCTTACGTCTCCAGCTTGTCACACATATGCCCCCCTATGGTTTCTTTTCTCTCTGTAGGCCCTTTGTACCCCTCTTCCTACTCTCCCTCATTTCTCTCTGCGCTTTTTTCTCCTACCTTGTTCTCCCTCTTCAATCACTTCTGCTGTATATTCTATTTTTCCTTCTCTGTGAGATTTAAGCATAATTCCTTGGTTCATCCTTGTTACTTACCTTCTTTGGGTCTGTGAATTGTGGTATATTTATCCTGTACTACATGGCTAAATTCCACTTATAAGTGAGGATATACCATGCGTGTCTTTCTAGGTGTGCCTTTTTAATTTTGGTTTTCACGGGACCCCATAGCTGAAAGACTTTGAACTTTTAAGGAAGATTTTGGATATTTAGAGAGATTGGTTGTTTTAAAGAGACTGAAATTTTAATGTGTAGTAATTTGTAAAGACTGCAGATTTCGAAAGTTAATTGTTTTTAATGTGAGATTTTGGAGATGAATAAGACAGGAAAGATGTAGCTGACTTGTGATATGTTTGTGTGTCAGGTTGACAAGGGTCTTTAGTGCTGGCTAGTCTTATATTATTTTGATACACAAACTAGTTATTTTGAAGAAGGGAATCTAAATTGAGAAAATACCTCCATGATATCCGGCTGTAAGGCATTTTCTTAACCAGTGATCACTATGGGAAGGCCCATCCCATTGTGGATAGTGCTATCTCTGCATTGATTGTCCTGGGTTCTATAAGAAACCAAACTGAGCAAGTCAGGAACAATATGGAAGTATAAGGCAAATAAACTCATTCCTTGCCAGCTTGCTTTTTGGTAATGGTGTTTCATTGAGGAATAGATAAACAGCATAAAATAAATACATACATGTCAGATTATCGATGTATGTGAACATCATGAGGAAGGAACATCATGCTGAAGGAATCACAATAAAGGTTATTTGGCTTTGATAGTGCTTAGTAATCTAAACAACAAATAGAAACTGTACAGCCAGACATGTTCTTTTATAGAACTATCTTTCTGCAGAAACTGAGACCTCACCATTTTGAAGCAATGGCTTATTTCCAATTACATCTCGTTTCTAAGATGCTCTTGTTTTCCAAGTTGAGTTTTTGTGGCAATCTGCATCCTCTAAAGTTCCTGTTGTAAGGAATCTGTACATCAATACCTTTACAACGTACAATTTTTCAAGTAAAAATTCTTTATCAGATGATTATCTTTTTAAAAACATTATTTACACTAATGAACATTTCCACAATTTGAATAAATGCATACTGAAATCTCGCCATGGAATGTGCTTTACACAGACACACAATAAATCCTCACAGTAGGTTCTTGTAAATCCACAGAAGAAGTATTATTTTTGTAGGTATATGAGAAACACACTTGCAAGAGACCTCTCATAAAAATATTCAGAGAACCAATTATTGACTATTACTATGCAAATAAAGTTTCTATGATGGAAATATATGAAACATTTCATTAGAGATTCCTGAATAAATTAACAATCATGAGTTTTATAAAGGGTTTATAAAAATTTTATTTCATGCATCTGAAAGATAAATTTATCTAATTATTTCATTTTATTATGAAGAACGTAATCATTGCAGTTTCACTGCTGTTTCACAGTTTCTGCTACTGCTGTAATAGACAATAGATATTTAATAATTATATACCTGTTGGTTTCCTAGGAAAAGTACAAATTAATAACACTCTTTTATCTTCTCTCCCTTTCAAAAACACAGAACTCTGGCATGTGGAAGGCAAGGAGCTAGTGAAGAACAGCAGTCTACAGATCTTCACCAATTCTACTTTGCACACAGGGCTAATATCTAAAATACATAAAGAACTCAAGAAAATAGACAGACACCAACAAACCAAATAATCCAATTAAAAATGGGAGACAGAGCTAAACAGAGAATTCTCAACAAAATAATCTTGAGTGGTGGAGAAAAATTATAGAAATGCTCCACCTCCTTAGTCATCAGGGAAATGTAGGTAAAAATGACTCTGAGATTTTTCTCTTACACTGATCAGAAGGGTTAAGATCAAAAACTCAAGTGACAACACATGCTGGAGAGGATGTGGAGAAAAGGGAGCACTCCTCCATTGCTGGTGGGAGCACAAACTTGAATGTGGGTACACTAGTTAGGGGAGTGGGTGATAGTTATGACATCAAGAACATATATTGTGTGTTTTTTGATCACTTCTCCTTGATGGAACTTCTCTATCAGGCCAGGGGAGGAAGAACTCAGTCCTCATGTGAGTAGATGAGCTGGGGTCTCTGAGTAGGGATACCCCTATTTTGAGGAAGAGAGAAAGAGGAAGTGGGAAGGAGGGTGAAACATGGGGGAGGGGTCTATGATGAAGATGTAAATTGAATAAATTAAGAATAATAGTAATAACAATAATAATAGAAAAAAGGAAAAAAAGCATTTCTTTAAATGGACTTTAAAAAATGAGAATGAGTCAGGGTATCTGATTGTGTACATAGATTCCATTTTGTTATTCCTGGGTGTCTTAGTTGGTGTGATATAGTTGTGAAGACACACCATGACCAGGAGAAACATTTCATTGCAGTTGGGTTATAGTTGGAGAGATTCAGTCCATTATCACCATGGTCAGAAGCATGGGGGCATGCAGGCAGACATGGTGCTGGAGAAGATGCTGAGAGTTCTTTATTTGCATCATTAGGTAGCAGGAAGAGAATGGTGTATTGGGCCTGGCTTGAGCTTCTGAGACCCAAAGCCCACCCCCACAGTGGCACACTTTCTCCAGCAGGTCACACCTGTTCCCAGGCCACACCTCCTAAAAGTGCTACTCTATGAGTCTATGTCGGCCATTTTCTTTCAAACCACTATACTGAACCTCACTCAAACTTTCTAGCTCTGTCTCTTCTGCGCAATGGAATATAATGCACAGGTCATGTCATATGCTTAGGTTAAATGGGATAGCTCCTGTAAACTGCGTTGAGTGTGGAAATAAAACTGTGTTTCCAAAGTTGCATTTCGTTGAGGTCCTCCACTGTGTATGAAGCACTTAGGTATATTTTCACATGGCAGAGGTCTAGTGCAGACTTCCCACAGAGTGAAAGTTATACTACATCCCTATTCAAGATTCGAAATGGAGTTGGTGCCTGTCTCAGGCACAGTGAGTCATAGAATTTTTGGTAGATGTCAGGAATAATTTTTGTTTTATTTTTATTTTATTTTAGTTTAGTTTAGTTTTAAGGCAGTGTCTCATTACATAAATCAGGATGACCTAGACCTCATGGTAATTCTTCTGCTTCTGCCTCTCACGAGCTCTGTTTTCAAATGTGAGCCACCATGTTTTAAGAGCAATAAGCCTTTTGGAAAAGATTCCCAAATGATTTTTTGTCTAAATTTCTTTCTTGATTTTATAGTGTTACATGTTTCTTTTTCATTCTCAGGAATGAATGAGATATTTCTTTAAAAAGAAAACAGAAGTCAATGAATTCACTTAAAGATGACCACAAACAGATGTATTGAAATTTCTCACAGAAGAAAATCCAAGTAAGAGAAATAAAATACTTACCAAAACTATAATTCAAGATAAAAACAAACAAAACAAAACAAAAATTTTATGGCTGTTTTTTTCAAGAGAAAGAGAAATAAAGGGTATGATGTGGGCATGTGAAGAAATGGTGAGGATTCTGGAGAAGTGGGGGAAGAAGAATCCATAATTAGAAGACAGTGTATGAAAAATATTTTTAATAAAATGAAACAACTCATAATGGTACACTTCACAAAGGAAAAAAAATCCTTAGATTTTTTAAACTGAATGTTTAAAATATAAACTATTCACTTGGGAAGAAAATATCAAACAAAATAGAGTAAAATAGTATATTTCTGTAAAATTATCAAACTTAAAAAAATCTAGAAGAAGCAAATTTTACAAGAATGTGAAAATCAAATTGTTTTCAAATTCCTTGTAGCTATTTTTGAACAAAAGAAAATTTGATTTTTATCAATGATTAATATAATAAAATAACAGGACAATTTATACACATTTGAAAGAATGAATAAATAATAGCTACCAGTTATGAGAACTTAGAAATAAAGATAGTAACCAATATTTCTCAAATTCCCCAAGCAAAGGCTTCTCTAATGAACACTGTAATAATAATAAGCTATAGCCAAGGGGAAACATACTAACTACACTTTACAGATCAGAGTTAAAAAAAAAAACAAAAATATAAAAATAGGTTCAAGAGCACATAGCAACCTATAATTGATTCAAACCTAGTTTTAGACAACACAAATAATATTACTCTGTTCACAACTAAAATATTTCCACAATTAAACTTTACTGAGGAAAACTGTAGTTATAAATTCTTATCCAGCCAACTCACATACATATCTTTTATCCTCAGCCCTAGATGTAAGTGAAGAGGAGATGTCATATACGATAAGGCTCCATGGATTCCATCCTCCACATGGTCGTGAACTACCTGAACTCCAACATTCTGAAGTCTTGAAACATACATGATTCCATCATCTCTCAGGACATCATATTGACAGGTAAGAATATATGTCCGTGGCAAATGCTGCAGCTGGGCATCATTGGCTAACAAGGGCAATGCTCTGTGATCCATCAGTCCTGGCAGTGAGAAACCCGATCTTCCAAGCACAGGCTCAGTGTACACATGGTCCTTTCTATACTTGTCAGGAAGAAGAGCACTCCAGTTCACAAACCTGAACAGATGTCTGGACTCCAGCGGCATGTGCTGGTTTTTGCGCATTGCCCGCGGAAGTGCCTCATCCTTGGTGAAAAACAAACTCACGAGTTTGATGGCTATATCCCTCGTCAGAACTATACCATGTTCATTTTCTCGATGAGAGGGCAAGTGAGTATCAATTACTTGTAAACCAGGATAAAGTAGGGCCTGCAGCTTGAGTTTATGCTTTACTTCAGGATCAATCTGCACCTGAAAAATGTAATATCCAGTGAGGCAAAGGCTTCCAACATCCCAGAAGGCAAAATGTAACCATGACACAGATACGGGAACAAACCTACACAGAGTGTTGTCATAAAGCATGGTTATGCCCAAAATCCCTATACTATCCTTAATTTGCATTAAATGTCCAGCCATTGAAACATGTTTTTATCGAAAGTAAGTAATAAAAATAAGTCTTCAAAGGTGTTGAAGAAATAGATGAATACACAAAAATCATTCTTGACAACAGGCTGAGATGCAGTGACTGCAGAGACTGCAACGCTCAGCCCTAAATGAGACATCCGTAAAACACACCTCCTCCTGCTCTCAGAAGCAGGGATAGTGTAAGAGCTAGGATGACTATGAGAAAACTGTTTCTTTTGACCCAGCAGGGAAGTTGCACATGCAGGTTCTGTGCAAGCCCAGATCAGAATAAATCCCTCCATGGAGAGAAGTGGCCATGAAGTCTCCTCCCTGGCTGAGGAGTTGACCCAGCAGGGAAGTTGCACATGCAGGTTCTGTGCAAGCCCAGATCAGAATAAATCCCTCCATGGAGAGAAGTGGCCATGAAGTCTCCTCCCTGGCTGAGGAGTTGACACTTGATAGATTATGGGAGAGTCAGTTTCCTCTACGCGGGTATTTCCTGATAAATTGAACATGCTCTAGTGAGATAATAATAATAATAATAATAATAATAATAATAATAGTAAAATAAAATAATTTTAAAAACCCCACACATCTAAGACTATGTGGGCCGGAAAAATTAGGCTCAGTGTGTGTGTGTGTGTGTGTGTGTGTGTGTGTGTGTGTGTGTGTGTG